TATTACAGTCAGTGTTTCCTTTGATCCTGTTTATTACAGTCAGTGTTTCCTTTGATCCTGTTTATTACAGTCAGTGTTTTCTTTGATCCTGTTTATTAGAGTCAGTGTTTCCTTTGATCTTGTTTCTGCAGGCCACCAGTGGATTTTTGGCTTTTATAACAGTTCTGAAAAACAACTCAGCTCTTCGTTGTGTTGATTTAAGTCGACCGCTGCTCTTCAGTCTGCAGGTACAAAGAGAACATCAAACACAGTTTTCGGTTCTGTTCTTTAGTCTGCTGAAGGATTCTGTCCCAGGAGGAGTGGACCACGTCCCTCTCAAACACGCTGCTGGTGAACAGCAGCCTGGTAGAGCTCCACCTGGGGAAAGTGGGGCTGACTGACACCGGCATGGAGAACCTGGTTCAGGGCCTGAAGCAGAACCAGAGCCTGCGGTACCTGGACCTGAGCTGGTAGGATCAGAAGTCCTGATCCAGTCCCTTCTTGTTATTTCTTCTGAAGTCTGGGAACACCTGATTTAGTGGTTTTCTTCTTGGACCTCGGCAGTAACCGTGTGGCCKGCGATGGAGCGCTCTGTCTCTCTGAGGTGCTGAAACAAAACCGGACCCTGCAGATCATCGACCTGTCGTCCAATCAGATCAAGGATGAAGGTTGTGTTCACCTGAGCAGAGCCATCACCTGGCCCAGCTGCACCCTGAAGGAGTGAGTCTGACTCGTCTTTCTGCTCCTGATGCTCTGAGGTTAATCTGTCACTTTTTTAGTTTGAGTAGAAAAGCTAAAATTAGCAGAGAAGTAGCAGAAGAGTTTCAGAACCGGTTGGGTTCTGTTTGGTTCTGCAGGTTGTCTGTCTGCAGGAACAACATCAGCACCAAGGGTCTGCTGTCTTTGGCTCAGGCTCTGAAAACAAACTGGACCCTGACTCACCTGTACATCTGGGGGAACCACCTGAAGGAGCCGGTCTGCCAGGTGAAGCCCCGCCTCACATCACTCAGACAGTCCCCGCCCACTTCCTTCCTCCGTGTTCACAGCTGGTTCCCCCACAGGCCTTCAGAGAGCTGATGTCCTGCGGCCGCCTGGCGCTCGAGCACACAGACGTCAGCGCGTACGAGGTGGACGGACACGTTTTCCTCGCCGAGGTCAACCAGAGACTGAGGAGACACATTTACAGCGCAGACGGTCCAAACATGTTCTGCTGATGATGGACACGTCCTTCATCTGGGTCCTTTGAGTCCAAAGGTGCATCTTTAGAAATAAAACTTGTACACATCAAACTGCCTTGTAAACCTTTAAAGGGATCCATGATTAGTTGTAACATTAGACTTTATTTGATAAACATTTATTTTGACTGTAAAATAAAGACTGTAAAAATACTGTAGGCTGCTTAGTTTTTACAATTTTTAAACTAAACGTTTAAAAATATATTACACGGACAGAGCCATTTTATTTCCACACAAAGCATTCTGGGTAAATGATGACGTGGATAGGTCCTCGGTGCGAGGCTGCTAGCGAGCTATATCCACCCTGAAGGTTAATCTTGGACAATATCTGATGATCGACTCTTTTAAATGAAACCAGAGAGCGTTGACAGAGAGGAGAAGGTAGAAATGACTCAGCCTGGAACTGAAAATATGGATGGAGGACAACAGGTTAGCTTGTTTGTCGCGCTAGCACTGAGCTAATACATATAAGGCAATATAGCGTCGGTGCTAAAGCTAACAGGCTAATCTGAGGTTCTTCTTCCATGAAGCAGCTCTGTTGTCCTCCATCCATATTTTCAGTTCCAGGCTGAGTCATTTCTACCTTCTCCTCTCTGTCAACGCTCTCTGGTTTCATTTAAAAGAGTCGATCATCAGATATTGTCCAAGATTAACCTTCAGGGTGGATATAGCTCGCTAGCAGCCTCGCACCGAGGACCTATCCACGTCATCATTTACCCAGAATGCTTTGTGTGCAAATAAAATGGCTCCGTCCGTGTTAATATGTAATTTTTTAAATTATTAAAACTAAACAGTATTTTTAGCCTTTATTTTACAGTTAAAATAAATGTTTATTAAATAAAGTCTAATGTAACCAATCGTGGATCCCTTTAACAGGCACCAATAGACATATAACTCCAACTTCTCTTCATTGGTTGTCAGTAAATTTTATAATTCATTTTAAAATATTAGTTCTTACGTTTGGAGCCCTGCATGGT